AGTTTGTCACCAGGAGTGCACTACTGAATTAAGATGTCTCTTTTGCTGTTACACATATATTGTGGTTGAGTTTTCCTGGTGCACAAATTGGCTTAATGCATTTCTCTTAATTTAGTCCTACTAAGTTGATATTGTGGTCTGTTGGCTTTAATATTCTAGACATACCTTGGGAAAAGCAATAGGTTGAAAAGGGGGCAGGTAGTGATGGGCTGGAAGACAGTTTATGCTAAAAACCACTGGCATTATAATTAAATGTGTAGTTGAAAAGTTAGCAAGTACCATCTCCTACTGCTTAATCAGAACAGAATAACATCATCCTGCATATGGTCAAATGAAAACACCTTATCTGCATTGGAAACCAAACCAAACCCCAGTGTCCATGCTGTCTTACATGTTCCCAGCTTGGTCCCATTTACAAAAATCCTTTGCCAGTCCCCCCCGCCCCCCAACTCCTCATAAGCTAGTTATTTGCACTTATAGAATCCTAGAGATGTCAGGCTGGAAGGAAGCTCCAGAGGTCATCTAGTCAAAAGCCCCCTCCTGAGGCAGGACCATCCCTATCCAAACCATCCAATACCATGCATCATCTAAACTCTACATAAGATTGTTGTCAGCCCTGACACAGCACAGACCTAACACCCTCACCTGTCCCAGGTCAAGCAGGGGATCCATGGCAGCCAACATCTGGCTTCTATGAAACCTCTTCATTTATGCAGTCTCCATCTGTGGCCCTACCAAGTCCCAGGACCTCCTGGTCAACCTTCTCCTGGCCCTGGCCAAGCTAGTAATCTATCTAACCAAGAAGGAGGCTCTGGCTGGGAGGAACCCCAGGGACTGAAGGGCTGTTTTGCTGTCTCTTGTCTCCTGTACACATCTCCAGGCAAAGATTTACTGGGCAGCATCCACTGGCTCCTTGGACTTGGTTGAGGACCCGGGGGAGTGGGAGAGCACTGTCCAGCATGCTTCACTCGGTGTCCCTCCTTGACACACCCATTACGAATGGATGACCATCATTCCTCCCTGTTCTGTTTTCTTATTTTCCCAAACAATCGGTGCCCCCCCATCACCAAGGGGGACTTGTGGCTCTACTTGGTTGACCCACGTCACAGTAGGGCATATTAAAAGGCCTGCTTCTATGAAACATTGGCAATATATGCTCGAGATATTCTGGGGAAGAGCCCCAGTGAGAGAGGGAGGCACAAAACTCCCGCTGCCTGTCCCATTTGGACCAGACAAGACATGCGGTTGCTCACCTCCCCTTCACTATCAAGGCAGCTGGGAATGCTGGGAGTTCAGACTGAATAATCAGAACTTTTGGGAAGGCGATATCTTTTATTAGACCAACTAGATAGTTGCAAATATATATATATTTAAAGACATTTTTATTAGACTTCAAAGAATTTTTTATTAGACCAGTTAGTTACAAAAAAAAGCCTTTAAAGATTTTTTTTTTTGTGGCTATCTAATTGGTCTAATAAAAGACAGTACCTCCCCAAGAGTTCTGATTACTTTTGCCTGCAGTTCACCACGGCTACAACCTGTATCCCTGGGGCTGAACCACAGACCTGGACTTGGGATCAGACAGAACTGCAGGACACGAGGGCTGGAAGGGGCATGTAGTGCCGCTCCTGGTGCCAGGGAGGATTAGCCTCAATGACATCACCCCGGCCTAGGGTTACCCACCCTCTTTCCCGGAAGTTTCACCATGTGAGGCAATGACATGAATGACTTTGTGTCAGGAAGGCAAATGCACATCACTATTACACTTTAAAAACCCACTGGACAACTGTATAAATCGGATTCAACATCGCTTCTCGGCCTCCTGAAGGCTCAGATCAAGTTTATTTTAACACGTGCTCTATCATTTATCTCCTGGGTGACTCTCCACTGTCTCCTGGACATTTGTCTCCAATTCCTGGGGACTCCAGGGCGATCCTGGAGGGCTGGCCGCCCTACACCTGGGCTGGAAGGGAGCTCAGCAGGGCACCGGGTGCAACCCCTTGCTCCAAGCAGGATAAGCTCCAGCTACATCATCCCAGCCAGGCTTTATCTCCCGGGGCCTTCAGGACTGAGAGCCCCCATCACCGCCTCCCTGGGGAGCCCGCTCCGACGCTCCACCACCCTCCTAGCGAGGAAGTTGCCCCTCCTATCCAACCTAAGCCTCCCTGCTGCAGCTGGGGGCTTCCCTCACTCCAGCCCCTTCCCCCGTGGGCTGCGGAAAGGCCCGGGCTGAGCTGGCCTCCCGCCTCCAGCGCTGCGAGACTCACCACACAGCAGCCCGGGCAGCAGCAGCAGCAGCCGGGCCATGGCCGCGGGCTCCAGTCAGGCCGCGCCGTCCCCTGCCCCGGCCTGGGCTGGCAGCGCCGCTGCACCCGGGACTGGACTGGACTGGACTGGGCTGGGCTGGGCTGGCCCGGCCGGGGCAGTCACCTGGGCGCCACGCGAGACATCCCCGCCCTCCGCCTGGGCTGGGCGGAGCCATTGCGACAGGGCCCTGCGGCTCCCTCCCAGCCAGCCCGCGCCCGGCCAGGTTTCTTCCTGGAAGGGGAGCAGGCCGGAGCTGGCAGTTCCTGAGCAAAGGCTCGGGCTTGTTCGTTCCGGGAAAGCCCGGGAGCGGCCTGGGTAGAAATCCGAGATGATGAGGGGTGGAAGAGGCCATCTAGTGCCACCCCTGCTCACAGCAGGACCAGCCCCACCTAAGATCAGCCCAGGGCTTTGTCTAGTCGGGCCTCGGGAACCTCCAAGGATGCAGATTCCTTCCCCTCCGCCAGAAACCAGCTTGTTCCAGCGCTTCACCGCCCTCCGAGAGAGAGCTTTTCTTAGTATCCAACTGAAGCCGCCCCTGGCTGCACCTTGTTCGCCCAGGGGAATTACACAGTCGTGCGCCCGTGCAATTTTGCGCATGAGGCAGGATCGCGCGGAATTGCATAGTTTAAGCAGGGCGGCTCCGTGCCTCCACCTCCATGACATGGAAGCACAGAGCTGCACGTGTGGATCCATGGAGCCTGCCCAGCCCAATGGCACGTGACTCCATGCCTCCATGTGCAGCTTCCTTCTGGAGTGCTGGAAGCCCCATGTGGAGGGCCAACCCAGTCTGATGGCATGTGAAGCACTGGGCTGTGCGCCATCGGGCCAGGTGGGAAGGCACACAAGGAGGCACAGAGTCATAGATTCATAGATTAAGGGTCGGAAGGGACCTAGTAGATCTTCTAGCCCGACCCCCCGCCAGGGCGGGAGAACAACAAAAAACCCCAAAAAGAGAAACGGGACTCAAA